CTATAGTAGGATCATATTCGATGCAAAGTAATAAATCATTGCCTGTCAAGGGAACCAATGAAGTACGCCTTTAAGGGTTTTACAAATTGAATAATTTCTTTATACATTATGAAGGGACGAGGGGATCAGTTCAGGTCTGGCACCCTTGTTGCTACAAAAATTCCTTTATTCTCATAAACTATTTATTTTAAATGTAATTTATTATAAATCCAATTTGTTTCCTAAATTCCACATATGTACTACATTTTACCTCTGTACGCGCCACTGTTGTTTACTTGTTTTTTGGAAGCGCTCTCTAATTGACGGCAAAGCTCGCCAGGTTAGTATTTGACGTATAACCGACCAGTTCGTACACTCGATGCACCTGGGCGACTACAGCTACTACCAGAACACAGTGCGTATGCAGCGGTATTTCAGATTTTACATTGAATTTCATTTTATATTTGAAATGATTTATCTTACGCCTCCTAAAAATGATGACACGAATTTCCTTTGATAAAAGACCCACAACTTTTTGCTCTACTTTGCATCGAATACGATCCTACTATAGAAACTATACTCCAGTTGAATTAGATCATCAAACATGAAAACTTATTATTAAACATTTTATTGCACTTTATGAAGGGGAAGGATATGCCGGAATATTAGTTATTTTATGTTGTAGGCAATTAAATTACCTACAATTTAAGATACATGGAGTAATTGTTCGCTAATTTTTTAACTGTAGAATAAAGGTCGAACACGGAAATATCAGTTTTTTAAAATTATGTATTATTATTGCTAAAAGCGATGAATGTTCTTGAAATTTATGGAATGACCAACATGTGTGCCAAACGTCGATTCCGTTGATCGTGAAATTGTGGTGTCAGCTATTTGTTAATTAATTCCGTTAGTTTTTTTGCAATTAACTGTTTAATTACTATACGTTAATTTTAGAAGTTAATATCATAGATATACGTTCTAATTGATCCAAAGAAACGTATCGAAAGAGAAAAATTTGAAAAAGTTGAAAATTAAGTTGCCCTTTACAGCTAACAAAGTAGGACGTGCAAAACAGTGTTATAAACAAATTGTGTCTTTTTTACAGTAATTTAAAAAAAAAAAGATAAATCACCTACGCCTCTTTATTCTCAAGATAACTTTTTTGGACGTATCGAACCATGATTTTAGAGGCAATTAAAGAAAGGATTAAACTTTTATTTCCAAAAAGTTTTATATTGATAATTCATGTAATAAAAGCGCTAGCAGCTGTAAAAGTTAACGTTACCTAATACGTTACGGCCTGCGCGCGAGAGGAGCGCCAGGCCCGCGCACCTGCATGAACGCGGCCCTCGTCGCGCGGGTAATATTGAATTTGATGCGTCCGCATCACCCAACGAGATTGGTTTCGTTCGAATATTTTACAACGCATTTGAAGACGATTTGAAGTAACAAGTTTGCTTCTGTCAGTACAAATAGACGAAACTCACTGCACAATTGTGTCGAATGTGTTATAAATAATTGTAAAAATTTGTATTGAATTTGTTTCTATATTGTTTATCTTTGTCGTTATTTAGGTCAATTTGACCGCAACTTCAATTTGAACCTTGATAGCTCATATTGCGTCTAGAACATATTTTTATGTTCATAACGATTTCGATCCAAAGTTTTGGCCTATTTAACGAACTTTAGTAAAGCATTTGATAAATCTTATCATAATATTTATCACTTCTGGTGTCCCACAATTCACAGAGAATTGAAATATTAAAGTTATTGTTAGGGATTGCGCTCAGAGGAAAATGACTTGAAAAAATTCATCTAGTTTACCTATAGTGCCATAAGAAGTACACATTTCTTTCTGCCATACATCATAATTTTATATTATTCTATATTATACTTATTATATTATACTTATTTTATATTATAAATCTTAAATTATCTTTTTATAGTTATATAGCTATCTACAACAACAATATCTACCATAGCATAAACAGTTTTACGCATTTACTTATTAAATTAAATACTAGAGCTTTGACTTCGTCGTTTTTTGGTAGTTTTTCAGTCTTTCCTTCAATTCCCTTCTTAATATTTTTCCACTGGGATTTTTTGGAATTTCTGAAACGAAAATTACTCCCCCTCTAAGCCTTTTTTGTGATGAAACCATATCTAGGAAAAAAAGCAGACGATTACATTACATATTTGAAAAAACTATTTACTAAGCCAGGAAAATAACATATTAGTTTCCACAGTCATAAAAATGGGGGGAAGATTGTTTACAGGGTGGTTAATTGCATAATTTTTACGTAAATTCACGTTTTTCGCTTATAACATTTTTCCGTTCATTTCCACGAGAAAACAGTAAAGTACTTTTTTTGTCTTCAAAAGACCTACAAAACTAGCCCTCGAGCGTCAAAAAATATTGATTAGATCAAAAGTTATAAACAGAAGAATTTTATTTATGACTTTTGAATTAAACATTTATAAACTGCGTTATTATTACCAGAACGTTTTGGCATCG